GGTTAGCAAATCCTGTCGTGGTTAAAAAGAAGAACGGCAAGTGGAGAGTCTGCGTCGATTTCACCGATCTGAACAAAGCTTGCCCTAAAGACAGTTTTCCGCTCCCACATATCGATCGTTTAGTGGAAACAACCGCGGGAAATAAGTTGCTATCATTCATGGATGCTTTCGCAGGATACAATCAGATTCACATGCACCCCGACGATCGCGAGAAGACAGCATTCATCACAGACCGAGGTATCTACTGTTACAAAGTCATGCCCTTCGGACTCAAGAACGCTGGCGCAACGTATCAACGGCTCGTCAACAGGATGTTCTCCGAACAGCTCGGGAAGACGATGGAAGTTTATATCGACGACATGTTAGTCAAATCCCTTGAAGAAAGCGATCACATAGCCCATCTACGCGACTGTTTTCGCCAGCTCAACAAGCACAACATGAAGTTCAATCCGGCAAAATGTCGTTTCGCGGTAAAGTCAGGAGAATTCTTGGGATATCTCGTAACTCACCGAGGCATCGAAGCAAACCCGAAGCAAATCGATGCTCTACTGAACATGCCCTCACCACAGAACAAGCGCGAAGTCCAACGTCTCACCGGGAGAGTCGCAGCCTTGAACCGATTCATCTCGCGGTCCACTGACAAATGCCTGGCTTTCTACGATACTCTGCGCGGGAACAAGAAATTCGAATGGACCGATCGCTGCGAAGAAGCTTTCCAGGAACTGAAGAAGTATTTGGCTAATCCACCGGTGTTAGCGAAACCAGTCCCGGGCGAGCCGTTATTCCTGTACATCGCAGTCTCTGATACGGCAATAAGTGGAGTCATAGTCAGGGAAGACAGAGGGGAGCAGAAGCCGATATTTTATGTCTCGCAAACTTTCACCGACGCGGAAACACGCTACCCGCAAACTGAAAAGCTCGCCCTCGCCGTAGTAATGTCAGCTCGGAAGCTACGGCCGTATTTCCAGTCTCACTCAATTGTCGTCATGGCGCCCGTATCACTCCGAACCATCTTGCACAGTCCAAGCCAATCAGGACGCCTAGCTAAGTGGGCAGTAGAACTCAGCGAGTATGACATCGAATACAGAAACAAAACATGCGCGAAATCTCAAGTCCTGCCCGATTTCATCATCGAGCTGCCAACGGAGAACGTCCGAGAAGAGTCACCCAACGCTGTTTGGATCCTCCACGTCGACGGCTCATCCTCAAAACAAGGTTCTGGCGTCGGAATCCGCCTCGCATCACCAGAGGGTGAAATCCTTGAACAATCCTTTCGGCTAAATTTCGACGCGACTAACAACGTGGCTGAGTACGAAGCGCTGATAGCAGGACTTAAGCTGGCTCGGGGACTTAAGATCAACAAGCTGCGAGCCTTTTGCGACTCCCAGCTCGTGGCTAATCAATTCAATGGAGAATATGCGGCTCGCGACGAACGAATGGAAGCGTATCTTGCTCTCACGCAAGACTTGGCGAAATAGTTCAGAGAGTTTGAGTTAACCAGAATCCCACGAGGTGAGAACACATCGGCCGATGCCTTAGCGGCTCTAGCTTCAACCTCCGACCCAAATCTGAAGAGGATCATACCGGTTGAGTTCATCGAAAAGCCGAGCATTGAAGATAATAGCAAGGATCAAGTTCTAACAGCTCGGGAGACAGAAGAACCGGAAGAAATGGACATCGAACAGCTAGACCAGCAAACTACGGACGCAACCGAGCCCGAATACGGAAGCGACGCCAAATGGATCGGAGCCATCCGAAGCTACATCGCCGATGGAGAAGTTCCTACTGAAAAATGGGCGGCTCGGAAGCTTAAGGCCAAAGCGGCTCGGTATACTCTGATCGACGGAGAGCTCTTTAAATGGCGATTTTCTGGCCCCCTCCTTATTTGTGTCGAAGGAAATGAAGCTGGGAGAGTCATGGAAGAAGTACACGGCGGATCTTGTGGAAACCATTCTGGCGGAAGAGCCCTGGCTATAAAGATCAAACGCCACGGATATTTTTGGCCGACGATGGTCAAAGACTGCGAGAAGTTTTCTCAACGATGTGATAAATGCCAGAGGCACGCACCAACCATTCATCAACCCGCCGAGCTCCTCTCTTCCATGACTTCGCCTTATCCATTCATGCGATGGTCCATGGACATCATCGGACCTCTACACAACTCCAAGCAGAAGAAACTTGTCCTCGTACTAACAGACTACTTCTCCAAATGGATCGAGGCGGACTCTTACGCCAGCATCAAAGATGCGCAGGTCGAGAACTTCGTCTGGAAGAACATCATATGCCGCCATGGGATACCTTACGAGATCGTTACGGACAACGGATCGCAGTTTATTTCGGCTCGGTTCGAAGGATTCTGCGAGAAATGGGGAATTCGCCTCAGCAAGTCTACGCCTTGGTACCCTCAGGGAAACGGTCAAGCCGAAGCAGCCAACAAGACGATTCTCGACGGAATAAAAAAGCGTCTCGACGCGAAGAAAGGCCGCTGGGCTGACGAATTGGAAGGAGTACTATAGTCGCATAGAACCACGCCGCGGCGGGCCACGGGAGAAACGCCATTCGCCCTCGTCTACGGCGCGGAGTGTGTGATTCCCACCGAAGCCGAGATCCTGGGACTAAGAAGACGTTTTCTCCCCGAGCAGGAAAATTCCAACACTCAGATGATGCTGGACGAGCTGGACTTAATTGACGAGAGAAGAGATTCAGCTTTGATCCGTATGCAGAACTATCAGAATGCAACGGCTCGGTACTATAACTCTCACGTTAAGCATCGCCGTTTCCACGAAGGAGATCTCGTACTGCGCAAAGTTTTCCAGAACACCGCCGAGCAGAACGCAGGTAAGCTCGGCGCGAATTGGGAGGGACCTTACACGATCGCAAAGGTAATCCGTCCCGGCGTCTACGAACTCATCAACATGAACGGCAAAGCGGTACCTAGATCCTGGAACGCAATGAATCTAAGGAAATATTACCGCTAAAAACCTAAGGTACGCATGTACTCGAACTACGGGGTGGCTTGATCCCTGAAAAGGGTACGTAGGCAGCTCGTCTTCGGACGAGTTCAGCTACCCCCCCTAATTAAAAAAGGGGGGGAGTGGGTCCGTATACATATATACTCCCACTAAATTTTTTCAAGTTCTCTAAGTTTTTACCCTTCGGATTATCAATTTTATCCACCTCGGAAATTTTAACGGTCATCCTATCGACCTATAAAGCTAAAAGTTCGTTCGGACGATGGCCACGTCCTCGGACAGAAAAAGCTCTTTTCACCACTTCGGTTACAGCGCGCTATACAAGCATTCGAGACAATTCGGTCGGAGATATCTTGCCATAAGGAAATTGTCTTCAGAAAACCCAGTTGACTTCGACACTGGTACCCCAGTTCGCTTCTAAGCACTGGTTTCGACTACATCAGCTCGGGTCGCAACCGATAAGGATTAGTCCCACTTAGTCAAAACCCAGTTATCCTAACACTGGTGCACGACTCACTACACTTTTGGCTCGAAAAGTTTAAACATTTGGATTTAACTTCTCAACAAGCAAATCATAAACCCGGTTAACTTAACACTGGTGCACGGTTCCTCTCGCTGTTGGCTCGGAAGCTAAATCTAGATATTTGACATTAGTATTGGATTTAGTTCGGAAAAGTTTTAAGATAAAAATACTTAACATCCAGTGGATAAAGCCGTCCATGCATGTCTTACAAAAAAAAAGGGGAAAAGAGAGAATAAAAAGATATCTCGGGATCAGATCGAGTCTTGGTTAACCGGTGAAACTTGAGCTACCTCGGTACCTCGGTTCGAACCAGACTGGTCGGCAACGCCTATCGCAGCCGCGGCACCTTCGATCGAACGGTTCCCGAAGCTATCGTCGACAGAGTTCGGGGAAACCGGAGGAAGCTTCAAGTCCTCTCGCAGCTCGGTCCCGAGACGGACGTACTCATCCTCGGCGTCCCCATACTCAGCCGTCCATTGAAGGACCTCGGCCTTCTCATCTTCTACCCTTTTCCCTTCCTCCAGCTCGGCTATCAGCTCGGCATTGGCCCGCGCTTGCACCAAGTACATGTAGCGCGTGGATACCTCCCCGAACTGGTCCATCTTCGCCTCGATAGCCCTGACCTTCTCGGCAAACTCCCTTTTGGCTGCCCTCCTTTCTCTGACAATCTCCTTCTCCCGGAGAGCCTTCTCCTCATTAAATAACCGATGGAGTCGTTCGACCTCGGCCTCAAGCTTTCTCTGAGTCCGCAGGCTATCCTCAGAAACTTTCAATCGCTCCACCTTCTCGGCCTTGGCCAACGCCTCAGCTTCCTGTTTAGCCGCGATCGCCTCGGACAACTTAGCTTCGACCTTAGCTCGGGACGTCTCCGATCTCTCACGGGCCAGCTCGGACTTCCGAGCTCCAGAATCATAGGCCCGAACCATGGAATTCATCGAATGGAAGGCCTGAAATAGAACGAGAATCATTAGCAAACAAATATGGAAACGATAGTAAAATAGGTCAAGAACAGATCGATGATACCTTCAGGAATCCGGCAGCGGTTTCACGGTAGTTTTGAGCCTCCAACAAGGCATCGGGAGTAGACAGTGGTGGACCCGAGCAAGAAGCAACAAAGTTCGCCGAAGCGATCTTGTCCTTGTACACTGGAGTTTCGCTACGACTCCTTTTCTCCTTCCTAGAAACTCCCGAGCCATCACCTCGGGGTCTTTTTCCCCTGGTTTTGGATTTCGCCTCGGCGGCTGGAGCAGCAACGACCAGAGTCCCTACCACCTCGGGGACGTCGGTCGTAGGGGAGATGTGTCCGGCCACCTCGGGAACGATCGAAACCATATCCCGAGCTTCATCAGTTGCCTCGGCACCAATAACGACCTCAGGGTTGGCCTCGGGAGGAGTAGGAGGTCTGAAGTTTGCCTCCAAAACGGCTTTTTCCTTAGCCGCCTTCTTTTCAACAGCCTTCCTGGCTCTCAGAGATTGCGCAGCTCCTTCCATTTCAATGAGGTGATCTAGACGGTGGTCGGATGATTCTGAAGAAGACTGGCAGGGAGCTCCGTGCAACAAACGCAAGGCTCTCTCGATTCTTTCCTGGGAGAAGTGTTTTGTCCAATCGCACTTCCGAGCAATTAGTTCGTCGTGGAGATCTAGAAAACCTTCGGGAATGTCTTCGAGAAACGACGGGTTCCGATCTGCATGAACAAGAAAAACGGTCAGTGAAAAGGTTAAAGCAAAACAAGACAGCAAATACGGCTTCGGGCGTAGTACCGATTTGTCTCCACTTTCCAACAACTTTCCCTAAGTAGTCCTCGTGGACACTATACTCATTCAAGGCTACGAAGAAGAAATGGTCGGTGTATTTCTCATCCTTGCTCGGGAAACCACCGATAACCCTCCTATTTGGCCTCGGAGATATGTAAAATCTCTCAACAGGGCCCGGTATGCGCCGGATCTCTAGGAGATTCCTTAAGTGGCTTAGGTCAACAAGATTGACCGTCTCAATACTTCGGACTAAAATCCCCACTAGATGCCGCAAGCCTCGGGTCGTTATCTGGGATAAAGCAATCTTGTACGACCACAGAAACGCCAAAATCGGCCTCGGGATTGGAAGCCAAAGGTAGCAATGATAGAAGAACCCCTCATAAAGGGTAAAAAACCCCTCGGGTGGATCATCGGCTCGCTCATTTGGAGTTGGAAGTCTCAGTTCAACCCCCTCGCTAAAACCAAATCGAGCCTTGAGATCCCGAAGGGAATCCTCCGTGCATAAAGTAGAACCCGGGGGATCAGGTTTCCTAGCTTTCTTGGCTTGTTTTCTCTTCTGTTGACCCTTGGCTGCTTGGACTTTAGCTTGGAGCAACCTAGCCGCCTCGTCAGAATCGTAGTGAACCTCCTCGGCCTTAATAGGAAGTAGAGGCGCCTCGGGGGCATTTCGCCAGCACGATACTCCAGCTTCACCAGCTGCCGGTGGATGGATCCTCCTTCTACTCAAAATCGCCTCGGGATCATCAGGCAAATCCTGATCCCGAGCCACATTTGCAATCACGTCTTCCCGAACGATGAAACGGCTCAGGTCTTCTTCCCGTGAAGCCGACTCTGCATCACTACCACGGTACAACACGATCTGATGGTCCGTGGTATCCGCCTCGGGGTCGCTCGAGGAACTCCAGACCATCTTTCTCTTGTAGACGGGGAGATGAGTGTCACCTCGGGGCGAGTCGCTGGAATCAGAGAGAGACATTTTCTGGCTCGGGAGATTGAAGAAGTTGATCGGAGGAACAAAGTTTGACAGATCGGAGAAATCAACCTAGATCTAATGACGGTGGCGCTATGACGGAAGTATTAACGGAAAAAGTAGAAAATGCAAGAACTCAAGATCAGAGAGAAGAGAACGAACCTTGAAAATTTTCCTTTGCAATTGCGAAATGAAAAAATGAATCGGAGGCTTAACATTTATAGAGATTTGGGGCGCGTCGGGTACGAACGAGCCAAATAAAACACATCGTATCCGCGTCTGAGGCGCGTCGGGCACAAACGAAGTGAGTAGGATACTTCGCATCCGCACAAATCTCGGGAATCAGCGAAAGGACCTTTCCACTTCTCGAGAAGGAATCCCAACCGTCACACGCCAAGAGAAGATGAAACGACAGAGGAATTCGAATCGCCAAAAACTTTAAAGGGACCGAACTGTTCAAAGTAAACGGCTCGGCCTAATTGTCATAAAGCTCGTCACGCTTGGTTCTCCAAACTAACGAGCTGGGGGGCTAACTGTTGGGGTCGGATTCCACCCTTTGGCGCCGAGCCAGACTTAGAACACTTCGGGAGTCTTTCAGTGATCACCTCGGGGCATAGCATCATTCACCTCGGGATATCCGTCTAATCGATTTAGTATACCCGAGCCCATCGCCTCGGGGATACTTTAACAAGACGTTTCAAGCACCCGAGCCCATCGCCTCGGGGATACCCTGAACAAGACGTTTCAAGCACCCGAGCCCATCACCTCGGGGATACCCTGAACAAGACGTCTCAAGCACCCGAGCCCAATTGCCTCGGGGGTACCCGAGCCTGGTCGCCTCGGGAGTTTCTGAGCCCATCGCCTCGGGGACACCCGAAGAAGCCATCCTAGAGTGCCCGAGCCAGTCCTTCCTGTGTACCCGAGCCGATTGCACAAGTTTCTCCGAGGTGAAGTCTTCATCATCGCCCGAGGTAAAGCCTTAGTAAATATTCGCTTTCAAAGTACCATTTCCAAGCAAGGTATCATTTCCGAACAAGAAGGATCATTTCCGATATACCCGGAAATGATAAGAGAGAATCTAGAAGGATCGATTCAAATCAGGAAATCTCCCAAAGACTCCGAAAAATAAGGAAACTATCCTAATCCGCGATATTCTGAGCCGACTTCAAGATAAATGGAAATCTTCCGAGAATATCGCTGGAGAGGCGGTTTATCACCTATATATAAAGAGACTCAAGGCTCAAGCAAAGGGCAAGCAATATCGCTCTAGAAATTATACTACGCAAAGCTCTCACAGCACAAACACCTTTTTCTTTTACGATCAAACTCTTGTACGATCAAAACTACTCTTTTCATCAATAAGATCAAGAACACCATCTTTGGTTACAATCGTTTCTGTTGTTCTTTGAGAATTCACAATTATCGTATCCCTAAAATAAAACCCTAGACAAATCTCGATTGTGTTAGTTTCGACTTCCACAATGACCGCAATGTGTAGTACAGTGTTGCCATATCTATCCACCTGGTGGAGAAGACTGTTTCTATCGGGACTCTCTGCCATGAAATAGAACGCCGGCGTATTTTTGTGTTCCGCAGCTAGATGGAAAACAGTTTCCTTTGATGGTGTTAGTATGTCGAAGGATCTTGGAGCCTTATCCGAAAACTCCTTCAGAATTGGAATTGAGCATTTCATGGCCGCCAAATGCAAAGGTGTGAAACCATCTTTGTTGACCCTCTCTACAAGGCTTCAGAATTGGAATTGAGCATTTCATCGGTCCACACACACTCGAGTTATATAAATACATGTTGATTTTTGTTTACTTATTAGCTACTAATAGGTTCAGTCATCAAGTTTGAAACCCTTTATTACAGTTTGTCCCACATGCATGTTTCTACCTATGAACTCATGTTGATTTTTATATTCAAAAGGATTAATTAAATCTTCAATTATATTTCTCATTTTCATGTTCGAATATATTTTTTATACGTCAGTTAAAATTTGTTTTGCCTTTGTGAAAAAACATAGTGAATTGGACTTGCAATCAAAATTTGAGTTACGTCTAATTCTGACTTGATATATAGCAAAAATATTTTGTAACAGAAGTCGCCTAATCTTGACCAAGTTGCTTATTATGTATAGTTTTATACCATTTCAAATGTAAGAAAAACTAAAAATAAATAAACACACTAACCCGTATATTCTGAAGATGCAGCTTCTGAAGGAGTACCTGAACTAAGTCAAGAAGTAACTCAAGAGAACAGAGCAACATGAACAAGATTAAGGAAATATGCAGAATCTTGTTATGGTGGTTTGAAGTGAAGACTAGAAGCTTAGAGAAGATTCTAGAAGACTGAAGAGTTTCCTTTTGCAAGAAGAAAAGGAAAACATGAAGACAAAGGACAATTTCCTATTCCATAAAGAAAAAGGAAATTGTCCATTCCAATTAGTTTTAGAATTGGAAATCGACCTGTTGTATGGTCTCAACCTATTTAGTATAAATAGGGTGCTAAGGCTTGCAGAAAGCTGAGCACAATCACGAGAGAGAATTCCTAGCTATTAAGTCTTAGTTTGAGAGAAATAGAGAATTAGAGGCTTAAAGAGAGCTAAGGGGTTTAAGGAGAGTTATTGTTCTTAATCGTCTGTGATTAAGGAACAAGACTTAGTGAGAATAGAAAATAGTGTTAAAGGAGAAACCTTGTAAACATATTTTCTATTAATCGAAAGAGTTTTGAGAAATTCTGTGTTACATCGTGAACTAATTCAAAACTTAGTAGCTCTTGCATTTACAATTGGTATCAGAGCGGTCGCTTGTGAAGATTACATACAGGTGAGATCTTGTGGAAAAGATGGAGAGCTATCAAGAACTGCTTAAAAACGCGAAGGTTGTTCTAGACGATTGTAACTATGGTTTTTGGAAGTCAAGAATCAAATCTGTGATAAGAGGGATAGATGTGTTAGCTTGGAAAGCTGTCTTGGAAGAATGGAAAGAACCACAAATTAAGAATGAAGATGGAAGCTTCACAGCCAAACCCGAGTCAGACTGGACTGAAGATGAGAAGAAAAAGTCTAAATACAATGCTAGAGCTCTCACAGCTATTCACTGCAGTGTTGGAAGGAAACAATTTGACTTAATTCAGGGCTGTGAAACTGCTAAGGAAGCTTGGGATATTCTGCAAACACACTATGAGGGAACGATTAAGGTTCAGACTTCAAGAAAAGATTTGATAGCTTCAAGATTCGAGAATCTGAAGATGGATGAGCAAGATTCAATCTCTGATTTCAGCTCTAAACTAAGTTCATTAGCGCAAGAAGCTTTAACTCTTGGGAAGAAGTATAAAGACAAGAAGTTGGTCAAGAAATTTCTAAGATGTCTACCTCCGAGATTTATGGCGTACAAAACAGCTCTAACAGTTTCGAATAATACTGATACTCTCAGTTTTGCTGAAGTTGTAGGGATGCTTCAGGCTCATGAGCTTGAATTAGGAGGAACTAAGAAACCAAAAGAGTTGGCGTTGACATCTTGTGAAAGCAAATCTCAAACAGAAGAAGAAGATTCATTGAGTTTGTTAGTTCGAAGGTTTGATCGGTTGTTAAAGAGAGCAGAACAAGGACAAGGACAGAAGAAGTTTGGATCATTCAAAAAGAATTCTGACGATACCAAACCATCAAAGAAAGCTGACATGCAATGTCATGAATGTAAAGGGTATGGACACTTTATTCGTGAATGTCCAACAGTCAAGAAACGAGAAACTAAATGCACAACATGCAAAGGAATGGGACATGCTCAAGATGACTGTATCAGTAGTCGAAAAGAGAAATCAATGATTGGTATTGAAGAAGAATCTGAGGAAGAGAGTGAAGAAGAAGACATCTTAAATTATGTAGCATTGATAGGCATTACTGAGTTTGTTGAAGGTGAAGAAGAAACTGACTCTGAATCAGATCGAGAACAACAAGTGAATTTTGTTGAAAGTTACAAAGAGGTGAGAGAAACTTTGATTAAACTTGGAACAGAAAATCAAGAATTGCTGAAAGAAAAGATACGTCTCGAATCACTTGTTGAACTATTATATAATCAACTAGAAGATGAAAAGAAGATTAGCAAAGAAAGTTTAAGTTTGATGAAAGAAAAACTAAGCTTGTCTGCTAAAGCTGATAATTTGGAGAAAGAACTGATCGCTGAAAGGAAGATATCTGTAGGACTACAAACAGAACTTAATCAACAACATCGGAAGATTCACATGTTTGCTGGAACAAAACAACTAGATCAGATTCTAAGCTATGGAAGGACAGAAAAAACAAACAGAGGACTAGGGTACACTGGTCATGGAGAAACAAGCACAGGTCAAACCAAGTTTGTGTCTGGAGGAATGTCTCATCATGCACAAGATGAATCAAGAAAAAGTGTTTTCAAAGGCATCAGATGCTATTTCTGTGGAAAGATTGGACACATAAAGATCCATTGTTACAAGTACTGGGAGAAAGTGGGAAACTCAGGTATCAAAGGAAATTTACATGGAATGGGTATAAACATCAAATCTGGGTAAAGAAAATTGATCTATATCCAACTCTAGTCAGAAGAACTGCAGAAAGAGATACATGAAGTAGAGCAGGACTTGGTTTTAGATGCAACATGGCGTTAGTCACAGAGGAATGCGAGAAAAAGAGTCCTTGGTACTTTGATAGTGGGTGTTCTCGCCACATGACAGGCACAAAAGATTACTTACAAGATGTCAAGAAAATCAAAGGAGGTAAAGTAACTTTTGGTGATGGAGGTCATGGAGACATGAAAAACTAAAAGTAAATAAACACACTAACCCGTATATTCTCCAAGAACAAACGTCGCATAAAATTCCCCGATCGTGATAGAACTTGTTTCTTCCAATATAAGACTAGCGACATCGGGGCGAGTGTAGCGGCAAGCAACAACGAAGGCGGTTTCTCCTCGTTCGTTGAGCGCGGTGAACTCAGCATATCCAGACGCTAATATCTGAGCCACAATGGTCGCATGTCCCCAGCGAGCAGCAAAATGAAGAGGAGTGTCGCCATCAAGGTTGGTAACTCCGACAAGAGAAGGACAAAGCTTAATTATAGTCTCCACAATTTCCTTATGCCCAAGCTTAGTCGCTAAGTGCAAAACCGTCCCACCGAGAGTATCCCTCTGTAATCTCTCCTTCAATACCAATGGATTCTCCTCTGCGAGAGCGAGTAAAGTGGACACGTCGTTTCCGAGGATGGCATCGATAACTGTTGCAACCATCTTCTTCTTCTCCAATGGTTTTAGGTGACTTTTGTCTTGTATCATCATCTTCCTCGAGATTGTGTTGAGACTTGGTATGAATTAATTTGTTGATTCTAGGTTGCTTTATATACTTGTTTGATGTCATATTTTAAAATTATCAATGCCGGTTGAAATTATTATATATTCGTAATTTCGTATTATAAGTTTGTTTCTTCCTTTTCCAAGAAGCATCCGTTAAAAGTCAACCCGTTGAGACGTGAAAAGAAATGAGAAAAAAATTGAAATTGCACCCGTAGAAACATTCGGACAATTACTTGTTATCTTCAATCAAATTTAAAATAATTCGATTATATGATGCATCACATCTTCTAATTAACTAGTTGGGTTTTAATCGAACACGTTTATGGACTTGAACGTGTTCGACAAGTTTTTTTTTTTTTTTGTCATCCGAAATTAGTTTTTTTGGTTTTCATTAATTATAAATCTTTTTTGCAGTAAGGATTACTGGATTAGGGTCGATTATAAATCTTGTTTCATTAGTGTAAGTCATTACTCAAGAAAGTGGTAGGCTCTATATCGATGGCTATTAAATATCTAGCGTTTAGAATACTTACTTAAAGCCTTCACCATTTTAGGCGTTCTAAGCTTTTATTAAATAAATGAATATATATCTATGCAATAGAGTTGAATCTTACAAATTAATTGTTATAATGAGGTCATTATCTTTTTCTTTTGCTGCAACAGGAATTTCATTCAAGTATTTAAATCTTTACAATGAGGTCATTATCTAAGATATCGCAATGTTATATGAATCAATATAGCTTAATCTACAATTGTGCTAAGTACGAAGTTGTTTTTATTTGTCATCCTAAATTTTATTAAAACACTAGATCATAACCCGTGCTATAGCACGGATGCGAAATTTCTTTTATAAAATTAAAATATAAATTTCGTATTAAAAAGCAAATAATAGAATAAAGTCAAATTTATAAAATTTATGTCATAGCATGATTAATTTTATTTGTAAATAGTATTAAATGTTGTATTATATTTACTTAGTTGGAAAAATGTTTTCATAATATAAGAGGAGATAATATTGTAGTGTATATAAAAATGTTGAGAGTCTAAATAAAATTGTATGGTTTGTTTGTATGTTTAAATAATTTACTTAGAAAATTTAATAATTAACTTATGCAACATTTTTTTTTTATTGTATTATTAGTTTATGAGAGTTTATTTTTTGGGCCAATTTGGGTTCAATTTTAACAATAGGCCCAATCTTTAATTAAGTTGCTTTGGTTTGATTTTTAATAATAGCATAAATAATTTAAAGGAAACAGAAAATAATGTCTAAAAAAAAACAATTTGTCGACGATGTCTAAAAAAAAACCATAATCAAGAATCTGCTTCTGCTTCGATTTCGATTGCTGACAATGGAGGAGAAATCGGAATTATTGTAATAAATATCACCCGACGATTTTTCTGTCAATTCTTTTTACTTCAGCTGAAAGAATGATAAATCATACAATTTCATTAGTCTCAAACAATTTCGGAATTGAAGAAGGCATTCAATTAGTTCATCGATTGTGTTCCGGAGCAGTGGAATTGGAAATTCGACTTAAAGGTACACCAAATTCTCAAATTTAATCGGATATCTTATACAAATCGATGAATTTAGTTCTTCAATTGATTAGTGATTGAATTGTTATGTTGTAAGAAATTCAACAGATTATACAGACAATTTTGAAATCTTCGAATGAAATAATGAATGGCTCTGCCAAATCTTTGTTTGATCTAATCTTATGACTGTATATTTGCATTGTTTCAGATTTAGATTATAAACTATATGATTTGCAATCTTAAACTTTTATCAGATTCCGAAACTGATATTAAATTAGGATCAATCTTTATAAAGTACAACTCTAATCTGAATATAAAATGATATGCAGGTTTTTGGTACAACTATAGTACATGTCGAGTTTAGAGTATTGTTTTTAAGTTAATAAATGAAATTCAATCCGTACTGTAGTACCAAATTCAATTAGATTTTGTAATAAATGAAATTCAATCCGTACTGTAGTACCAAATTCAATTAGAAAATTGTTTGAGCTAATTACGGAATTTACCAATTATTCACATAATCAAATATGTTATGAACATATATTTGGTATATAATAATAGCAAATTCAATCCGTGTGTGGAGTCTATATTTTCATTTTACAATCTCTATGAAAATATTGCGGCACAATCTATTATTTATTATTTTCAAAATTGCTTGCAGAATCAAATTTTTAAATATTTAGAAGTGTCAAACCTTATTTAACTCATCTCATCATAAATCTTAAAATGCCGTCTATTATAAGGATCATAACTTTCTACCATATAATACATTACATTTAACCCGCCGCCTACTATAAATATTTTAAACATATTTTTTTAGAAAATCAAATTAATGTATTTATAGTTTTTTTTTTTTTTTATCTTTTTAATGTATTAAAAATATTTATGATATTCTTTAATAAATTAAATTAAACTTTTTTAAAATATTCCAAATTAAAATCTTTAAATTTTTTTATTGTAGTATGTAAAATTATGAATTAAATAAAATGATATGAAATTAAATATAAATATTCAAATAGTTATAAGGATCATAACTCATTTCAGCATATAATATATTATATTCAATCCGCCGCTTATTATAAATATTTGTTTCAAAAAATCAAATTAGAGTATTTATACTTCATAAATTTTTGATCTATTAAGTATTGATGATATTAAAAAAAAAAGAATATATTACTCAAATATGAATTTTTGACCAGTTAAATTTGTTCTTTCATACATTGAATAATTTATATTCGTTTTTAAAAATTCAAATCTTGATATATGCGGAAAATTTTTTACTTTATTTTTATTATATAGATGATATACTGATTTATTTATTTATAGAAATAGAATCATATAAAGATGAGATGTGGGGTATAATGATTAATAACAAATTAATATGGTAAGTTAGATATCAAATCTTATATGTTCATTTTGATTGGTCATTCATTTTAAAGAAATTAATAATATATTTTCGTTTTTATAATTAAATTAAATTACTTAAATTGTATAAAATAGTATTTGACTTTTTTATCTTTAATGAGTTGAATTAATCTATATATACATTTTAGGAGTACACTTAGCAAATAAATCTTAGAGTTCCACCTTATTTACAAGTCCATGTCATTGACATTTATTATTTACTTTTACAAAATTTAAATAAAGATACTAACCAAACAATATCTTGCCTAATTTGTTTCTAATTAAAAATCTCTACACAATCTTTCCATATATCTTCAAAAAAAATTATAACAAATATTTATATTAATATTTATATTAAATTTATAATAATCAAAATATTCACATAGAAAAATCATATACACATACAAGAAAAAGAACTATATCTATCATCATTTAAGCCGTTGTTTTATTTACATAAAATAAAAACACAAAAACTTGAAATCATATATTTTATATGATAATTTAAAATATATATTAGTAGTATAAATTTAAAATCATTCAAAGAACGGTATACCACGGGTGAGATCCTAAAATTATTGGATTTATAACAATAATTAGGGTTGGGCAAAAAACCCGGACCCGAAAACCCGAACTGAAACCGACCCAAAAAAATAGGTTCGGGGCGGGTACGGGTATTTGCTATTTACCCTATTGGGTCTTGTATTGTCGTACCCGTGGGTATAGAGTAAAACCCGATCCGAACCCGATCCGAACCCGATCCGAACCCGATCCGAACCCGATACCCGAACGGGTACCCGATTACCCGAAATTACTTATAAAATTTTAAATATATCTAATATTTAAGTTAAATATATTTATATCCAAATATTCGAGAGTAACTATCAAAAAATAAATATATTTGTATTTAAATACTTAAGACTAAATATATTTATACACGAGATATTTGTAAGTTTTTCGAATGTTTGGATAAAATTTAGGTTATTCGAGTAAAATTTTGAGTAAAAATTCGCATATTAGGATAAAATTTCGGATAATAATCGGATATTCGGATAAAAATTTCGGGTATTTGGGCAAATTTTCGGGTATTAGGGTAAAATTTTGGGTATTTGAGTATAATCGGGTATAATTTACCCGAACCCGACGGGTACTCGATTTTTTCGGGTATTTAGCGATTCTGAAATTCTAAACCCGAACCGACCCAAACCCGATTGGACCCGAACCGAAACTGAACCGATATCTTAGATTTACCCTATTAGGTCATAAACTCCTCTACCCGAAGGACCCGAACCCGATCGGGTTTTACCCGAACCCGACCCGCGCACCCGAATGCCCAGCCCTAACAATAATAATTTATTTTCTTGGATTTTATAACACTAATGATTTAGCTAACGGGATAATATAGACGGGTTTATATGGAATGACGGATTTGGGTCAATATTAATAAATAACGGTATATCATGGATGAAATCCTAAAATTAACAATCAAAATACAATTATACAATTTTAAACACAAAACAAAAGAAACAATATTAACAAAACAAATACAACTTAAAATTTAAATTTTTTAGTTATAAAAAAACCGCCCACGGTATACTATGGAGTAAAATATTCAAAATTTTAAAATCCACCATACATCGTTACTTTAAAAAAATGTATGTTTTCGTATATGTACTTCAAAAATTGAAACATAAACAATAGTATTAATACACTAAATAATACATAGATAGATAATACATAGATAGATATTTACATTTAAAAATAAAAATTAATATAATATATCTTCAGTTAATCTTTTTAAAAATAACATTATATGTTTTTTTTAAAAATAGCCCCGCGGTGTACCGCGGGTTAAATTCTAGTTTACTCTATAAAATTTTATTACTAATGGCGTTCTTAAGTAATTTTTTTACAAAAGAAAAGGTTAGTTAAGGGTATCTTATAAAGTGTACTCCCAAATAATAGTATAGGATTACTGGTGAACCTACATATGTTAC